ACCTCTTGTAGTGAGAACCAGTGTGACTGGCCTGCCAACGGGATGCTAATTATTTTACAATTATTTTACACGATTTGTAATGCAAATTTAATTCCAATAAAGACTTTATGGCAACCATTACAATATGCAACACGAATAAAACAGATTTATTGTAAAATGTTAATATGTTTATATTTCCCAACAGAACGGTTTTTATTCAGTCTCATCTCGATGGGAGTAGCGTCAGCATTTGTTATGGCTTCATCGTTAAATATGCACTTCCAGAATCCAGGATGTGAGAAAGTACCAGATTGGTTGCGGAAGTTCGCCTTTAGTTTTCTCTCACGGATCGGCTGTACTCGGTCAAGATTGACTCCAAAGCCGACCAAACAACAATCAAATGCTTATTTGAATCACGAGGAGTTTATAAATGACGTCAGCAATAACCACAAGATGCCGTACGAACATCCGGTTGAGAACATTTCATTGTCACCATCTCAGAAAAACGATTGTGACGAAAATGACCCGGAAGAACAACAACGACGACTGCGTGAATGGCGTGAAGTAGCTCGAATTCTTGACAGGGCTTACTTGTCTATATACTCACTCATTTTAATCATTTTGACGGCAATGTACATTTTCTATATACCGGTAATGGCATTGGCCTCCCATGATGAAAAAGGTTACCATGGAGGTGAACAACATGGCGGTAGTCTTGGCACTCTGTGAACAAAATTCCGACAACTGGACATGACTCCTTAACTTAACATTAAAGAATTACAAAGTCTCAAAAATTATCCCGTGATCGTGATCTTTGTGACAACTATGTTTATTATTCCGAGTTTTGCACGCACTAGGTTAATGCGTCAGATTCATATATATTTACTTATTTTGTTTTCCGTTATTCGCAAATATTAGGCACGTCAGGTAATGAAAATCCATATGTTTTTTTAAGGGAGTTTGCTCTTTAATCGATAGTATCCTGCCAGGAATATTGCACGAGAAAAATAGTATAGTATAGTGTTGAAATGTTTATTGTCATTGTCGCCTTTTTTGCAGTTTTATTATTTTCTTCATATTGCAGTAGCTGCAATTGTTGTTTTGACTTATGTTATGATTACTACAACTCCAATAACTTTTTACTTAATCATTTATTTGTGTTGTTGTTGTCCTCGAAGTGGTGATTCTTGCACAACTAATGCACCATAAGTCGAATGGTAAACATAGTTATACAGCCTATATCCCGATTCCAGATAATTTAGCAACACCATGGATAATAATCATAACTAAATGATGTTATAATTATTGATATATTTAATGTCCATATCAACAATACATGTTCTAAGTGGTATTGTATTAGTTATAATTTATAACTTCACTACGATGTATTAATACGCTTGTTGTGGGAATTTGTTTTAAATAAACATGATTTAAAAATGTAATAATTATGCACAGGGATTTGTTTATACGAGTTTCTGGCACGGATAATATCATTCGCATTGGAGAAGTAAGTCCATTGAAATTGGAATATGCTGATATTTTTTTATTGTGTGTACTCAAGAAAAGGCGCGAATTGAAAGTTTGGGAGTCTTAATGCTTAATAACATTAGTACTTGATTGGGTGACGTCATTATTGTCTGGTATGACGAGTGACAAATGATAAGGGCTAGCCCTCAAGGTTGGCGTCTATATAAATAGCCAACAATGTATCATTGTGTTTATCATTTTATGTTTTTTAATCAATCGACTTTTTATTTCATTATAACTATTACATATGGTAATGGTCATGTGTTCTAATAACAACGCTTACATATTAAACCTGAGGTAATTGTTGATGTTTATGCAGATACGTTTGACTTTGTGATACACAACATGTTGAATGATCACAACCTTGTGACGTATATCTATGTGTGGAAGTTACTTTTCATTATGTTAGGAACGAACAATAAACTGTCTCGTAATACTATGAGTATACATACGTTTACACGCTTGTTCTTATTTTAATAACGTAGCTTGTTATGACCATGTTGAGGTCGAATATGTCCAAGCAGAGCAATTAATTTTACTGATTGCCCAATGTTCGTTGACTTTTAGAATAAGTATTGAATTGATAGTGGGCTTCTAGTTATCGTCTGATTCAGGAGAAAGGATTACTCCTTGTTACTAGCATTCTATCCCAGTTTGTTTTCCTGACTATTGTATCCAGTTACATGCCACCAACGACAGAAAACATCCCGCACTTACGTGAGTATAATTTACAATCCAGTGAGCTTATAATGTGGTTTATTTGTCACATTCTTAGCATGTGACATTGCATGTACATATAATTGAAAAGAGGGAATGAAAACAGTTTATGCTCTCATCAAAAAGACGGTTCTGAAATTTCCCTGGAGGGTGTGTGCGGGAGGTGTTGAAACAAAAACAAAATACAATTTCCTCCAATTAATAACATTCAAAATTCAATGAATTTAAATGAATGTCATACAAGTAACACTTTCCTCATACAAAATCCTTCACAATCGTCAAACTAGGCAACACCTAAAATAATATTGTCCCTTGTCTTTTAGAAATCACAACATATTACACTGTCTACAAGAAACACGTTAAATTTAGATCAATGAGCTCAAGTACAATCCTTTTTACTTTTTTTTTGTCGAAAGCTCAAACGAAATGTTTACGACCAAGCTATCACTAATTATGAGTTACGAATTGACAGCATCTGCATTATTAACCATACGATATCCGGCAATAAAATAATGATTTACTTCCCGTAAATAACAATATCAGTCCGCACCCAATTATGATAACCCAATGAAACATCTTTTGCCAGCCGATAATAGGTTATTTGGCCATCGCCTCATTACTATACCATTACTGGCTCTATTCAGCCAAAGTGTATTCACGTTAGTCATCTTTGACAATACTAGAAATATTTTCTTCAGTGCATTGTCTCTTAACGGACAAAATAGAGACGTCTTCAGTAGAAGAATTTCTTGATATTGAGACGACATTTTAAAATTGTTTACTCAAACTAAAATTAAATTATTAGATCAAATAAATCTTATTTTTCCTCTCTGTATTTCCCATATTCAACCTATTTATTTTCCCCGTGAAATTTGCAGTACTATTCGTGTGCACAATATAAGTAACATGAACGTTTGAAAACATAAAAACCTTTATTTACGGAAGGTCTCTGATCATTGACAGTCATAAATAGTTCGAAGGCATCGATGACAGTGGGAAAGCTGCACAGTGCATCAGCGATTATATGCGATCAGCAATACCATGTTTCGTTGTGACCGATTGGCGCATGCTACACTAAATCTAATTGCGCGCAAGCTTTACATGTGACTCCAATCCGACCTAGGTATTACTTAAATTTCAAGGCTGAAAGGGCGGCAGTCGTCGTGCCGCGTCCTGTTCGATATGGGACTAATAGCGACGTATACAACGCATGTAAAATACATTGTTTACAAACATGAAATTCGAACACGCGCTGCGCAACAACCACCGCGCTTTAAAACTGACTTGGATACTAGTAGCTTGCACTTCTAAATGGCTTACAATTGCATCTGGTTATGTACGTGTTATCAGTCTGTAAAGTGAACACCAATTCGTCAAACAATTCAAAATTTGGGCGTGACCTGTTTGACGATGGGATTAAATCAAATCTGAATACAGAAGCCAACGGGCGCTGTACACACATTGGCAATGTTCAATTGTTCAACGGAGAGCAATGTAGAAATTGAAAGTGGACGATAATCAAGAAACGAAGGTTCTCGGAAATTCTAACGAAATCTCAGTGACAGCTGAAAAATTATCTATGCATCAAAATTATAAGGAGTAAATACATACTGTAACAATAACATACACAAAGATACCCAGGCACATGTTCGTGGATAATTACGGTATGGGATTATCAGAGTGAACTATAAAAATGTACAAATATTTCAGGTTATAATCTGTCACATAATTTACTCAGCCTTTGATATTTTATGATGAGTAAAGGTGGTGAGTACTCAGTTAAACATTGAGGCATGACATGCAACGTGTCCAGTGATTGCAGTCACAACCATTGATTGCATATATACTACCATCATGACGTTTATACTGATATAAATGTTAAATACAGGCATATGATTTTGAATACTTATTTGTAAAGCAAGCAGAAAACTAACAATCAGTAAAATCAAGTTTGGCAACTTTTCTGTGTCCACCGAATGATTCTGTAGTGAAATCATGGAGAGTAAAATATCTATATATGATGTTCATTCAAGGGCCTGACCTCGCTATATTCCAAATAAATTACGTCAAACAACCTTTAAATATGTTGAGACTTGGAATGCATGGTATGATACTCATGTTATGATTTTTATGGTATTTCCTTTAACAATGCGTAGAATGGAAACACCGCATCACGAGTTGACAAAGGTACATAATGGAAGATCAAGAATTGGATTTAATTGAGTTACCTAATCACATTGAACATAATGATCATGAAAACAACAAAACAGAAAATAAGAAAATAATAACCAACAAAGCAGAATTACAGCAGAGGTGGATAAAATTATAATCAGACAATCTGAAAAAACTCCAGATATCAAACTTTAATCCCAAAATATCACAGTCAGTCTCTGGGACATGGATATACAATACATTATCCTGGTGCACTCAGTCAACGTTTTAGAACTGCACACATGTTTAAAACTTCTTCTTCTTAAGTTAATGCTTATTTTAACCAACATCCCGATTTTGTACATGCGCATACAGACGTAGATAACGCAATTGTCGGTTGCATGAAAACATATAACCGTGAAATGCCCTACAAACATCCCATTTTGGAGAAGATGTCTTTATTTAAATCAAGACTTTAATTTTGCTAATGGCATTCTGGCTTTGAGAAAAAAAGTCACTTATTTCAGTTGGATTACTGACGATGACCATTCACATCCGCCAGGTTGTTTTACAGCTAATCTCCAAACATACTCTTACAAAATAGTAGTATTGAATTGAATATTAATACTGAGTAAACGTAGTGAATGAGAACCACAGAATGGTGATTGTTTTAAAACAAGGTCGTGGATCTTCTACAAGTAGGTTCATTGGTTTGCTGCAATGACGAGGCATACTGATTGGATCATTATTAGCGCCGGCGTATTTCGCAACGACTGTCATAAACAAAATTTACCATATCTATATTAGTACAATGACGTAGTACTTATGAGCAAAGGTTTTTAGCATGATAGGCCCCGACAGTTTGTTGAGCTGGTTAGGGACTGGATTTGTGACGTACAACACCTCGAACTATAAACTTACATGGTATATCTCGATACGTTTCGACTGTCTTGGGCCAACTAAATGTACTAGTATATTAGGAATAAAACCGATCTACTTGTGCAGTGTTTATGACTCTGATCTGTGTCTGTAACTTCAGTTTCCTAGCAACGATCACCGCACATATAGTTTCATCTCTAGCAGCGAGTAAACCCCGACGCTATCCGACGTCTAAGAGACACCACCAGTAGGAGACTTGAATTACTCTCGATGAATCAAGCCGTATTATATACACACATTAAAAATTGTACACACCAAGTGTCGCAAACGGAGCAGGGTTTACGACGATGACAATGTCTGACACTATACATGCACCTGCTACTGAACAGGACTTCTAAATCAAAAATATAAAATGTTGTCAGTGTTTTATTATGACACTGTGTGTATAATCTAAA